ATAATAAATCAAATCAAATCAATTCCATACCATACCCCCAAAGGCAAGAACCATCTCCCCCTTCAGCTTATAAGACCCTTAAGGTCAATTCTTCCTCAGCTCCCGCCCCACACTGAGAGCCCAATGCCATGGAAGAGAGTGTAATTCAGCTGGTCCCAAGGTTTTCCCACTTCCCATATTTTACAGACACCTCCCTCAGCAGCAGCCATTCCTCATTCCATCCAGCAATAAAAATGAGACCACTTTTTCGTCATTGTTGGCATCTGTCCGCCTCGGGAGACAATGGAGGAGAGTGCCTTTGGGGGTGAGGTCAAGCTGTTGGAAGGTTGCAGCATCTTGGCATTCCAACTTGCAAAAGCTTTTCTTTTCTTTTCTTCTTTTGCCTGGTGCAGCAGCTCAGTCCACTTGTGGAGTGATATTCTAAGCTCCAAGTGAGATTGTGGCGGGTCAGCACTTTATGGACCAGGGCTGTCCAGCTAAGGCAGGTGGGTGGGTGGGTGTATATATCTATACAGTGGTACCTCAGGTTACATACGCTTCAGGTTACATACGCTTCAGGTTACAGACTCCGCTAACCCAGAAATAGTACCTCGGGTTAAGAACAGTGTGAAGCCCCATTAGCTAAAGTGGTGCTTCAGGTTAAGAACAGTTTCAGGTTAAGAACGGACCTCCGGAATGAATTAAGTACTTAACCCGAGGTACCACTATATGTGTGTGTGTCTATATATATATATATATATTTGCTTTCGTAGATTTTCACGGGTACAGGAATGCAGGTTTTGGTGTCCTCGGGTGTCTTCCCGTGTAAAAGTTGGGGTGTCTAGGCGACGTTTCGACGAGGTCTCACTCGTCATCTTCAGGCTGGTGCTTTCGGCTTCTTGTTACTGGAACAGAGCAGGATCTCAGTGTTTGAGTTCCTATAAATACTGTTGAGGAGGTGTGGTGTATGAGTTCCTATAAATACTGTTGAGGAGGTCTATATATATATAGACACACACACACGTTTTGTTTTATCTCTGCTGCCTAGTCCAGCCAGTTCCTTATTACAATAACTTTCGCAACCAGCTCGAACAACTGACACCTGAGCCTGCGTTATTTCCTCCTCCGTCCCAGCCTGCTTTTCCTTTTATGCCGTGCTTCTTGATAAGGAAGCTATGGCCTTATCCCCTGCTCTCTGTAAACCGCCATTGGAAGCCCCACCCGCCACTGCTGAAAAGCGGGAGGTGGAGAGGGGAATAAATAAAACAGCGCAAGCAAGAGACAATTCACCTATGTTGCCTTCTATGGCGATCTTCTTGATGGCGGTCTCGGCCCGGCTCCGCTTAGGTGGGGTTGCCATGGAAACTGCCTACCGGCTACGGTGCGAAGCTCCCGGGGAAGACGGTGCGACTGAGAGGACAAACCTAGGCGGGAGCGCTCCGGTCTCCCCGCACGCCGAGGCTACGTAAGCCCGTCTGCCCGCGCGCGCGCCAGCCAGCCGGCCAATCCCGTTTGTCCCGCCAGCCGCCGTTCGAATTTGGCGCGGCCTCGCTCGGGGTTGGCTATGTCGGGCAGTGACGTCACCCGCGGGAGTCCAGTCAGCTTCTTCCTTCCGGCTTCGTCTTCACCTCAATGACGGCCTTATCATAATAGCAGCCGCAGCTCTCGTCGTTCTCTCCCCTCCTCAGCCGCCTGAAGAGTCCCTACAGGTGCCCGAGAGGGTCATAAGGCGTATGGCGAAGCGCGCGCGAGCGACCGCGGCTTGCGGCAGAGCAAAAACCAACCGCGCTCGCTCGCCTCAGAAGGGCCGGCTTTCCATGGGAAGGGAAGATCAATCACACACCGAGCAACGGATGCAGCCGGAGGGAGCGCTGTCGAGCTGTGAGTGCGTCGATCGACTTGGGTCGTAGAATCCTGGAGCTGGAAGGGGCACGCCGAGGGTCATCTAGTCCAACCCCCTGCTGCAGTTACGTCGTTGCCATGGCAGCGTGCCAGGCTTCTGGGGCGAGATCGCACTCCGCCTACCAGGAGCAGATTTTAAAGCTTTCTTAGAAATAACGTTAAAAATGCCGCGTGTTGTGGTCTTTTTCTGCTGTGATCTTTGAAAAGGCATATAGCCTAGGAGGCAGTGATAGGTTTTACCTTCTTGGGCTCCAAGATCACTGCAGATGGTGACAGCAGTCATGAAATTAAAAGACACCTGCTTCTTGGGAGAAAAGCAATGACAAACCTAGACAGCATCTTAAAAAGCAGAGACATCACCTTGCCAACAAAGGTCCGTATAGTTAAAGCTATGGTTTTCCCAGTAGTGATGTATGGAAGTGAGAGCTGGACCATAAAGAAGGCTGATCGCCGAAGAATTGATGCTTTTGAATTCTGGTGCTGGAGGAGACTCTTGAGAGTCCCGTGGACTGCAAGAAGATCAAATCTATCCATTCTGAAGGAAATTAGCCCTGAGTGCTCACTGGAAGGACAGATCCTGAAGCTGAGGCTCCAATACTTTGGCCACCTCATGAGAAGAGAAGACTCCCTGGAAAAGACCCTGATGTTGGGAAAGATGAAGGGCACAAGAAGGGGACGACAGAGGACGAGATGGTTAGACAGTGTTCTCGAAGCTACCAGCATGAGTTTGACCAAACTGCGGGAGGCAGTGCAAGACAGGAGTGCCTGGCGTGCTCTGGTCCATGGGGTCACGAAGAGTCGGACACGACTAAACAACAACATAGCCTAGGAGGCTTTAAGATCTGGAATTACGGGAGAAGCCACGCATCTTGTGGATCACGGATGGTGGATCTGAGGCCCACTGGTTAAGGATGGTGGGAATTAGGAGTCCCCGTAACGTCTGGAAGGCTCTCGACCCTGATTTAAATTCTCCCTTAATTCGGTTTTAGATCATCCAGCTTTAGGATAGCATAAAAACATCAGGTGAGTTATGCCGGATCAAGCCAATGGCCCTCTAGTCCAGCATCCTGTTCTCAGAGTGGTCACCTAGATGTCTAGGAAACCTACACGGAGGATCTAAGCACAAGAACACTCCTTCCCTCCTGTGGTTTCCAAAAACTGGTATTCAGAAGCATTGCTACCTGCAGCCATGGAGGCACATCGTAGCCATCATGGCTATCAACCATCAATAGCCTTCTCCAACATGAATTTCTTGGGATCTGTTGCATCCCTGACAAGGAGCTGAATTGCTACTGCCGCCAATCACTTTACTGCAATAGCCATATTCGAAATTACTACAGTGGTACCTCGCAAGACAAAAAACCCGCAAGACGAAAGGGTTCCCTATGGGCTTGCTTCGCAAGACGGAAATGTCTTGCAAGTTTGTTTCCTTTTTCTTAACACCGTTAATACAGTTGTGACTTGACTTCGAGGAGCAACTCATAGCACGCGGTGTGGTAACCTTTTTTGAGGTTTTTGAAGACTTTGGTATTTTTGAAGCTTTTCCGAAACTTTTCCGACACCGTGCTTCGCAAGACGAAAAAAATCGCAAGACGACAAAACTCGCGGGACGAATTAATTTCGTCTTGCGAGGCACCACTGTACATTTTACATGACCCAGATACTCAAAGTGAGGAAGAAAGGCCCATTTTTGTGCTATGGTGTGAGAAAGACGTGTAGCTTTTCCCGTGTTTGATCTCACTGCAACAGCAGCAGCATGTCGCCACATGTACAGCATCATACACTCCACAGTCAACACCGGCAGGGGTCAGTTCTGCTAGCTACACCTCTGCCTAAGACATCCAAGTGAGGGTAGGGACCTGTTCTTTTATTCCTTAGAAAATGCTATGTGTAGTGATCTAGAAATATAAACACACAATTCAAAATGTACAATTTCTGTGCCTTTCATGTGGTTTGCATTTGGACATAGAAAGTTTCCAGGAGGGGTTTTTTTTTGTTGTTTTTTTAGTCTTCGAAAAATTCTGAAGAATAGGACCCAGGTAACCTTGAGTTCAGCAATAACATCTGAGAGATTAAGGATTGCATTGGAAAGGGCAAATGCTAATGAATACACCATCCCCACACAGAGCTCATTTTGCACAGAAAACACAGCAAACGCCAAACAAATACTGGAAGAAAGGCTAGAGGAACAAAATGAGACATCCATAGAAACCTGTTGCCCAGGTTATGGTCAAGACAACCAGAACATCCAAGATTTAGTAGTGGCATGCAGTAAAGGCTTCACACAGGAGATGTAAACTATTGTAGAAATTCTGTAGAAATTCCCACGCGCATTACTGGATGTAGACCACTTCTAGGGGCAAATCTGACTTTAAAGAATTTTCTTGCCCAAATGTGTTGCTCAAACAATTCTAGAATCCATACACATTTTTTATAACAGCTGCAACCAGGGGCACAATTTTTGCAGCCGACAGATGCCCCTTCCTTTACACTGCAGTTGACACAGATCTCATTTACCTTTCATTGCCAACTAAAAGCATCTCTGCTCACACCCTTATGGAAGTTTGATGGTGTCTTAACAGTTAAATGATGGGAGCAATAGTTTTAAGGCAATTTAGTTACAATGGTTTTGTGACTGTTGTTTTATGTTAATATTTTGCAACCCACACAGGCATCCTTAATAAACAGCAAGCTACACATTTAAACAAACATACAGGGGGTATCCAATTTTAAAGCAGGCCTACTGAAATCAATGAACTCAAGTAATGAGTCCATTTCAATGGGTCTGCTTCAAGTATGATTGGTATTTCGCAGGTTCCTAAGCAGTCTTCAAGAGGCACCAAACCAAACTTGCTTAATTACAGTTTTGTTTCATGTATCTTTAGACCAAAAGTGAAACCAAACTAGTGCATTCCAGCACTCCTTCCTAACAGCCACATATTACCTTCCAGCTTTGTACTGGAAGCAGGAAACAGCCCATGTCTGAGTTTGGGTACAGTTGAGGAAGGACTCCCATTTTCCACAACTGACTATAATTTCTTGGTAGGCTTGCCTCCCATTTTGAAAACTTCAGTTGTATGCCAAAACTTCAGGGCTATAAGAGTTAAGGAGAATGGAAGGACATCAGGTTTGTTTTATTGCTCTTAGATTTGCCTGCAATACAAATAGTTCACAAATTCAGGTGAGGTGATCACATAAAGTAATTTGTATGTGGAATACTCAGATGTGTACAATGTGTACATAATGGATACATTGAAAAACTGCAAGTTAGGATGAGGAGGGAAAGAAAAGGCAATCGTGGTCAAACATAGCTATTTATTTTTCTTCTTATAAACAGCATTCAGTTCCTTACTGAAAAAGCCTAGAATTTATATATATTTTTCATCCCATCACTTACAACAATCTGTATACATTATTTACATCTTTCCAATACATGTGTTGCAGAATTTCAGACATTCAACTTTTTTTTAAATCAAAAAGCTGTTTTCATTTAAAACAAGTATTGATCAATAATGACTACAAACTGAAGTAATATTGGCACAGTCTGCGTACAGTACAGGTCTCGGTGTTGCATTTTATATTTTAAGCCTATTTTGTCCAGCTGCTTTTGAAGTATTTAAAAGAAGCAGACATCATAGTGTTGCATCTGCAATACCTTCTTGCTTCCAAAAAGCAGGCCCAACACCAGGTTCAGAGAAGGGGTCACTGAGTGAGCTCACACATGAAGGCAAGACTGATACAGCATAAAATCAAGTACAAGGGAAACCAATTTATGCACTCAGAACAATTAAATGGTAAGGCTTTTCCTGTACTGCTTCTAGCTGCCAAGGGGAGAGACAGCTGCATGCGTGAATACTCCTGCCACAGCTTAAACTCTTTACAGGTGGAAAGCACCTTTAGGAGATGGTTTGCAGTTTAAGCATTCTACCCAAAATGCTGCTTTTTCTTTTGCAAGGAAATCCCTCACCCCGCTGCCCAACCCCATGATGATGCAACTCCTTCCCCTTCTTACCATCACCAATTGTAGCCTGAGGTTGTGCAGTCCTACAAGCTAGACTGCTTGATTATGCTGGCTGGACAGACCTAGCCTGATTCAGGCAGGAATCTGTGGCCATAGCTGATGTGTGCTGTGCAGTGCACATCAGGAAACCTCCATGCTCCTGGATGTTCCCTCTTAGGAGAGCACAAGCAAGTGGTCCTATCTTTTATCTAGTCTCCTGTCCCGCCCCCCCCCCAACTGCACTTAAGGCTTTGCCAGTTATAGTAAGAGTTAGGCAGGTCTGTCTGCGTGTATCAGGTTTACCAATGAGTAATATTTACTCAAGCCTTTTAATTTTCACAATACAAGTTAAAATGTATTGATTTTTATGGCAATATTTAGCAAACACAACATCTGTGAATAAATGTCTTCAAAAATGGAACCAAATGACCTTTCAAAAGATTTGTGTTCCCAGAATGACCTAGTTATACATGTACAAAAATAATGAGTACAGTTTAGTGGCTATAAAAATTAATTTCCCCTAAAAATACAGTTATCTATGAAAAAACTATTGAAAGGACAGTGTTCTTGGAGAAGAAAAAAACCAAGCAAACGAAGAGTTTCAAAAGTTGAATTACTTTGCCATTTTAGGAGGGAACTGAATTTCAAAAAATGAAACTATGTGTACAACTGGCAGAAATAAGATGCCAACTAAACTTTTACTTAAATTTAAGTATCTCACTCCTAAGGTGGCTAGTGGTTCTATCGATGCAGTCTAGAAAACCCTAAATAGTTACCTATTGAAAGAAATGCAATGGAAAGAAATGAAAATATTAAGTAACATGGGAATGTTGCAGTTGAAAAATTGGCAGGTCCACCTTCTTGTTTTTATTTAATATGAAAGAAGGAATTTCACCTATAATATAGTATTCCAGGGGGAAAGAATACATGTCAGCTGGTTTAAGATATTCCCATGCTGATTTTTTTTTAATTAAAAAAAAATCTTATAACTTTGTATGGCAATTCAAGGCAAGAGCTCAAGGAAAAGAGAGGGGAAATCTGAAAAGGTAAGAAGAGTCAATAGCAGCAAATTGGCCTTTTGCCTGTAAAGGGAACTTCAGAGAGAGATTTCAGTTCTAAAAGATTAAAGAGTCTCTGGTTTTCTGTCTTAAAAGCAACTGCAAATATTCAGAGTTCTAGATTGCATAGTAAGCAGTAAACAAAAACTTGACATGAACTTACAGAAGAGCTATTAATCCTTTTGAAAGCTTTCTGGCTAAAGCTGAGTTACCACTAAAATATTGTGGGACATTTTTATATTTACGCAATGAACATGGATCCCTGACACGAATATGCAAAGGAGACATACAATTTCTATGGTCAGAATTAAAAAATCTGTCTTAACAATGTAAATCCTTGTTCACTGGCCTAAGAAAGCACAACACAACCGCTTTATTGGACTTGCATCAACTTCCATGACCATCAATTTTACTCTGTCTCATCAGATTGAGGAAGGTTACCTCCTGAAGTTATTAACCCCATCACCAAAACAAAGAATCACACTGAAAGCTGAAATAAGAGTAAAACTGGTTCAGACTTTTGAAGCTCCTTCGCTCTTCCTCCACAATGTAAAAGAGTGTTAAAATGCAATGGCTGGCTGTGACTATATTCCCAGGCCTGAATATCCAATGTTTAATATATAAAAAAGCAACCTGGCATTTAGCAGAGTATCCCTTCAAGATTGAAACCCAGATCCAGACTATAATTTTGTGGATTTCAAAATACTAAGGTGTTCAGTTTTCAAAATCCTTGGTCAGATGAAAAAAATCAAGGAGACCTGGATTTACGTTTGAATGCATTGGTAAAATAGTATATATTGTGTTTGAAGGCCATCACCGAAAAATGAAAAAGTTCCCAATGCAATACAAAGATATACTCTGTGTTCAATACAATGAGATATCTTCAGTGTTTTCGTTTTCAAGTTTAATGAAATCAACAGAGTTTAACTAAATGTACTCTCAGTGATCTCCAGCCTTTTATTATCCAACCAAGAAGTCAGCAAACGAAAGCAAACCAAATTATCCCCCCCCCTACAATGAGCATTTGAAACTTAATACACTCTCATTGTACCTTTATAGAACAGACTTACCTTATAGAAGGTTCACAACAGTCCCTAAAAAAATTGTGTGTGTTTGTGTGTGTGTTAAATTAATATTTCAAGGGATTGAAATTGCTCATCAGTGGGAAACATTTAAATAGTAACTTCCTTCCTTATAAACTGCTGTCTGTAAAATCCAATTTTTTTAAAAGGTCCTCAAAAATCTATTTAAATATTTGATCTCAGAATGGTAAGCCTGACTTCTATAAAATCAAGCCTGGACATAGATTAGCATATGTAATACCATAAAAGATTAGCATATGTAATACCGTGTGTGCATATTAAGTAGTACCCAAACTGCTGATCATTTATTTTGCTAAATCTACATGCAGAATTATGGTGCTCCATGCAAAATGTACATTAGGTACAATGAGCAAGGGCTACCTAATTATCAAGGTGAAGTAAGCCTAGATGAGTTCATGGCATTTCTTGTTTTTCCTTTTATGACTGAGTTACAAATAATTCAAGACCACGTCTTAAGCTCAAGAGCATGTTGAACACTGGATAATGCAGTGTTTAAAACACACATTGTGCATAAGTAACTTACACACACTGCAAAAAACATGCTATGGGAAGGTGTTGTGCACACAAGATTTTAAAAGGGACATGCATGGGCACACAGCTTATGTCTGAAATGCATACTCAATAAGATACCACTTTGTGAATTTGCAGATTCAGATCAATTTCACCCAAGGAAGGCTATCTCTATACTACACAGAACTCCGTTTTAAATCATTCTGTGCAAATTGGTTTAAGAACATCTGAAGAGTATGATGCATCAGCAAAAAAACCCAACATTTTAGATTTAACACTATATAATCAGAGAAGTGGCAAGTTGCAAATGTGCAAGAAAGATCTGATTGTATATAGAACTCTGAATTAAACCTGACAATCTTATGAACATGTGGGAATCAGAGACAGCTCATGTTCTGAACTTCTAAGAATGAAAAGTCTTGGGTTTCCCAACGTGCTATCAAAAACATCCACAAACCAACAGGTGACGGTTATCTGGGTGCCTGGTTATAAGGTACTGGGTCATCTCATTTGAAAGGAGGGGAAGAAACAAAGAAAGAGTGACAAAAATACAAAATATGTGTGAGTAAAAGTAAACCGAGACATCTAAAAACATGAAAAAGTGGTACTGTGTGCCATATAAGAAAACTGCTGCATTTGGGTGTACAGTTAGGACTGCAGTGGGACTGTGCGCTTAGGATGAATGGAATGGCAAGTGTTCCATACGACAAATGGATTGAGGCAGTTTGCAACTAAGGAGCCCACACTTGTACATCAAGTGAGATTTCTGCCACTCGCAATAAAATGACTATGGTGGATTTAAAAATATTTTTAAAATCCTTGTTAACACCACTGTTGTTCTCCGTAAACAACTTCCCCTTGTTTCCTCTTGATGCTCTGGCAAGGCTACTGATTTATACGGGTAAGAAAGCTTACAGTACAGTTTGACCGCCTGTGATCATCAAAATCAGGCTGGCTAATCTAAAGGAAAGTTGAATGTTTGAAGAACAAATGCAAGCAACAAAGAAGAAAGTGGTCAACCCCCAGGCTGTCCTTAGTCCTCCACAGATGCAAGACGTTGGGTGGGTTTCTGAGGACATAAAAGAAAGAAAGAAAAATGAGCCCCCCTCTCTCCCCACCTCCTGTAGCCCACATTCATCTCTAAAGGCATTGTTTTGCATTAAAAGCTGGAGATCACTTATAGAAGTTATGGCTTTTTTAAAAAAAGGTTTACACATATTTATTTATATCTAACAAGAAGTGTAAGTCCTGGGTAGCAATTTGTGTTTTCTGGTTCCAGCAATGTTCTTTGTATGTGCTTTGTACCTCAGAAGAGAGTCTGCCAAGGCACTTAGAGAATGTTAAGTCTCTTAAAGGACTTTCTGAGAATGGGCTGCAATTGGCAACGCAGAACCCATACAACCAGCAGTGTCACATTTCCCAACAAGCATGTATTTTTTCCCTCTCCTTTATAAACACTCGACATCTGCTAAAAGAAGATTACACAACAAACAATAACAGAAAGCCATTTACTGTGTGTGTCTCACTAAAGACAAACGAGTTCCTCTAATAAAAGCACAGAGAATGGATCTAGGTTGCCCAAATAAAAAACAAGAACAGGTTTCCTTTTCTTTCTAAAAACATAAACAAAAATTTAAAAGGCTGCAAGCCTCTTCACACGCTTGCTCAGGAGTAAGTTCCATGGATCTTAATCAGTGTGCAGAGGATTGCAGCTCAAATCCCTAAAACACCACATGCCTGCTTAAACCAAACAAGTGATTTGCACAAATTCACTTCTGCTTATCTGTCCTTTGAAGTGAGTTTTTCAATCAGTTCTTGAAGTGGAGCAAGTTCTCTTCTGTCTATAAGGTTAAATTCCTGTGGAAGGCAGAAAAAGACCAACAATTCAGTTCAACATTTAGCAGGATATCCATTAGTTATCAACAGCATTGTTTTACCCTATGTAACTGAAAACACAATTATCTTACGCTGGAAGTAAAGCATTCAACACAGTTTTTAGGAAGAACAAAGATGAGGGCAAGGCACACCGAAACTAAGACTAAAAGAAAGATCCCCATCTGAGAAAGACAGATATTAAAGTTCATTGTGGGGAGATTCCACAGAAAGCATTGCCCTAGCTGCTGCTATTGCAGAGATCAGAAGAGAACCAAGTGAGGCTCTCATTTCACTTCTCTAGGCATGTCCACTTGCCTCTTGTTGATATGTGAGAGGATCACCAGTGTCCCAGTTAGAACTCTAGAATATTCATGAACCTGCACTACTTAGGCGCAGAATCTACATGTGGGACTGCACATGGCACATGAAGAAATCCAGCAATATTTTTAATTCTAGGTTGGTGGCCAAATGCTACCAAACACCTCTAACAATAGAAGTCTGCCATGCAATCTGTGATAGCACCAATTTCCATTCCACACAGAAGGATTTCAGCATTTCCAAATGGGATATATAATCCTAAAGGAACTGCTTTTACCTCAATCAGATAATCACTTTTACATATTTTTCAATATCCAGTTAAAGTGCACAAAGGTTTCTGGTTATACACATTCACTATTCATGTCACATTAAGGAGATCACAAAAGAAAATATTTGACTGGTGGCTTTACTGTACAGTTTTTGGAACCTGCTAAAACCTTTTTCGTTAGGCAAGCCTACCCAAACATGTAATTTTACTAGGTATATTTGTTTTAAAAACTACTAATTTTATTTACCTATTTTTTTAAAAAAAATATGTCAGCTTGTTTTTAAATGTTTAATTCTGCTGGTATTTTTAAATTAATGCTTTATATTTTATAGAACCTCCTTTGATTTTCTGGTTAAGATAGAGTATATAAGTATATTTATTCAAATAAATAAATAGCTCCAGACCTTTTCTCCCAATAATACTTCACAGCATGACATAGAACTTAATTGGGAATAGGGCACAGCAGACAACATTAGAATCATGTTAGAGAGAAACTTCAAATGTGCTGAAGAATACAAGGATCCCTAGTTACCGCAATAAGCAACAGAAAACTCAAAAGAGAATGCGAGCCCACGCTCCATCTTGCAGGGCTATATTAAGTCATAGTACCCCATGCCTAGTTACCTGAACAAAAAAGATAAAGTGCTTGAAGGATGTGTTGAGATGTGCCTCTTCTTGCAGCTGAATGACTGGATCAAAGTGCTGGTGGTAGATGTGAGCATAAACTCTGAAAAGACGCTTTAGGATCGTTTTAGCTACCGACATGAAGTTCTTTGGGAAAGGAACACCTAGAAATCAACAAAGCAAACGTCCAAGTGTTTACATTCAAGTCCTACAAAGAACACAGGGTTGCATCCAACAAAACTATCCTGTTCACACAACTATGTCCACTTGCAAAACAGAACTTCCCCTCTCTTCTCCCTCAGATCAGTTCTGGGGTTTCCCCTAAGCATCCAGAGAAGGATGGGAGTGGGAGGGGGAGAGAGAAGAGGAAGGGGAAGTTCTGTTGCACAAGCAGAAGCGGCCTTTGTGCTGATGAGACAGGTTCATTAGATACAACCCCCAGCTGCTATCATGCTCAAGACTCATCTAGATAGTGGCTTCTTGCTTCAGTGCATAAGCTGTAGCACAATACATGACCCCTGCAGAAAGCATAAGAAGCCACTCACAAGGACTCTTGTCATCCCATGAATGGGCAGGGAGCAGCACAGGCTTAAACAGCCCACGTATCAGGACTGAGAACCACAAATATCGGAAAGTACCATCTATGCAAGCGTTTTTCCAACAGTAATCAAAAACACAACCAGAACTATTCAGCAAGCATGTTTTTTAAAGACATACGGTAACTGTATCTTGCACTGATTTAAAATTTTAAGTTTAAAACTGTGATTTTTATAAACCAACGAATGCATTGTGCAGAAGTGAACAAAAATGCAATACCACACTAGCACAGAAATCACCCTAAGGGAATCGTCCTGTTTGAAATACTGAGTATTTAGCAAAAATAGCAAACCAGTCCTCAAACAAACTGGTACTTGTGCTTTCCCTTATTACAGCTTTTTCTCTAGAGGGAAAAATAAATACCATAAGCAGAGAAATATTTAATTGCTTATTTTCAAAGATCACTCTTCCTTTTAATTAAGGACTGCTAGAAATTAGGTATGTTCTGGTCTACATAAAGGTAAAGGTACCCCTGGTCCAGTTGCGGAGTCTTAAAATTAAATCTTGTAAAAAAATTAATTAATAGTGAACAACTGCTGCTTAAAATGGTTACATATATTTTCAAAATCTTATGTTAGTTTCCCTCAAGTTAAAAGTTTTTGTTTTCTCCTATTCCTTTTGAAACAGCATAGATGTTCAGAGTTTGCAAATTAAACCATCCAGCTTTTATATAGCGGCAATATACTAATTTTAAAATTACCTATTTTGGATGGGAAGAGTGTCTCATCATCCAGCTGGTCCTGAACCCATGTCATAAGGTAATCAATGTACTTTGGTGCTGAACACTTGATTGGCTTCTTTATGTTTGTCCCATCTGCCCAGTGGTACTCGTATCTGGAATGAAACAGGGTTAAATAAATCTAGGACTGTACACACTAAACAAATGAATTATTGTTTTTATAACATTGGGATATAAAGGCCTGCTTCAGGTGTGCCCAAGGGCCTGGAGATGCTCAAGAGAATTATTCTCTCTCTTAATCCCTTCCCCATACACAAGTCTCCTCAGTTTCAAAAGTGATTAGCACAGGAGCAAATTCCCCCCGGGCACTGAGAACCAGTTGGCTGGCTTCCAAATATATACACATAAGAATTAGAGTGATTATGCACTATATAAGACGTGACATAATTGGCATTTTGCAAAGCTATCCCTACAACCAGCAGGCACTATGGTTCAAGGAGAATTATTGTGCTAACCATGTTCCAATGCCCCAAACCTCATAGTATCTCAAGCCAGAGGCAGGTTCTTCCCCGATATAGCCATGCCCTTAGCTCATGAAATGCTTTTTAATTCCAGAACTTTTGAAGCTAAGTAACACGTGCATTAAACACACTCATTCATTTTCTTCTACTCCTTTTTAATCTAAAGCTGACAGTCTAGTTTTATACTTTAATAGCATTGGATTTAAAATTATGGTATTGCATATAGCTGAACTGATGCAAAATGACACATTAAGTGGAATAGTAAAACAGAAAACATACAGCCATGAACCTTAATTATTCCAGAACCTAGTCTCTGATCCCTTCCACAGCCTCCTTAAACAGCCTTCTTTTTGATAATCTTAATATTATGCACAGCTCCCTCAAATTTTCTCTTTCTCTTGTTTGGAGTGAAACTACTGTATTTCAGCTCAGCACACATTTCCAGGATAGCAAACAACAGTGTAACAAATCAAACACAAGACACCCATGGAGAGAGCTTCAATGTATCTATGAACCAGAACACTGTAATTAAGCAATGTTTTCAGAACTCTTAGATCTTAGGGTAGGAAACTATGAATTGGCTTCTTTAAAGCCAATGCAGTAACGATACACAAGCAATTTTTTTTAAAAAAAATCCCGCTAAAACAGTTATGTATTCCACAAGAACCGAGTAAAACGATAAATGCTAAACCCACTTTCTTCTGTATTACATCGATATTCAGAATGGAGGGCCACTTTGGAAACTGGTATCTCGCACCTATATTCACCCATTTAAAGTTTTCAGAAATCTATCAGCTGAACAAAATAGGAAGATCTGAATGAATGCCAAAAACTGGCTTCTGAACATGTGGAACATTTTGGGCTGGAGACAAGACAACAGTCGTCAGGGGAGTTGAAATGGTTAGGAGGAGCCATCAAATCCCATAGCGAACATCAGGGTTGTCAAACCTGCAACTGTTAGACAACCAAATTGTACGTAAATAGACCAGTAAAGCCTGTTTTGCACCTTGTAAGTTCAAGTGCAGTTTACTTCCAAGTTATGTGTGCATAAGATTACAGTATTAACCAAGGTCTGCACACCCACTTCAAACCAGTTACATATCCTGGCTTGTGGCCATTCTTTTCTCTAAACAGTGGCTTTCAGACACAATAATTAAGGAAAGCAACTGATAGTGAAATGTTATGCTTGCACATGGCATCTGAATAGCTAACCCAAGAAAAACAGCTGCTTAATTGTAGTGAATAAGAGGCAACCATTGCCTCTTATTGCAAACGGGTGCCAGTGTAATAACATGTCTCTGAGTAAAAGATTTACATATCCACCTTCATTTTTAACCATGTTCAGCTTTTGCCAGCTAATAAATTTGGATGAGATCAGAAAAGTCCTTTAATCAAGGTCTCTGTACTGAAAATAAAACCCTGCATCCAAGCAACTCTGATTCAACCAGTTGTCAAGATATATTAAGAAACAGAGATAGATCATGCTATTTCCAGATGCATCAGTAGAACTAAAAAGGCAAGGCAACGATATATGTATGTATATATGTATGTAAAGGGGAAACAAAAGGGGGGGACATATACAGACACATATATTTAATGGTCCTCTCCTGTCTTAACAACACTGCTTAGCGTAGGAGACAGCAAATAGAGGACCCTGAGCCAACCCAACCCACTAGATGGTATTGCTTAATCCCAGTTACCAAGCTTCAGGCAAGTGTGGTGTTGAAGCAGTTGTAGTTGTGGAAAAGGGATTATCTAGTGGGCTACCTTGGGTAGCTGGAAATCGGAGTTAATCACTATCATTTTTAAAATAAAAAAGGGTTTCCAGTTCTCAGGGTTGTAGAGATGAAAAACATGCCGGTAATTTTTGCAATTCAGCAGTTCAAGGTCAGATCATGGCCTTCAGGACTATTAAATTCCTCCTGCTCTGCTCTGCTCTCACTCACACTTTCATTGACCTCCCACCACCAAACAAATCTGTAAGGAATTCGATCAGGCTAAAAGCAAAAACATGAAACACAGAACTTCAGCTTCTTTGTAAATAAAATTTCAGGTTTTTAACTTACTAAGAGTAGCAATTATCATTGTTTAAAACCCCAATTAAAAATGAAAAACAGCAAGTATTTTATGTCTCATAGTTTCAAAGTCGCATAACTAGCATTCTTACTTTGGACCTGCAGACATCACTGGGCAGCTCTCTTCTGTGCAGAAGTCTGTAATTGTCCCATAAAGCATGTTGATCTGGTTGAAGAAGTCCACAGCTATATATATAAAAAACAGGAACGATTTCAATTTGGCAGATAAAAAGTGTGTGCTTTCAATTGCAAGCTAGACCATCCACACAGCTTCTCAGCAAAAGTACTCTGCTGTGTTTGATATGTACTATACAAAGGAAATGCCGGTCAGAAAACAGACTAAGACCTCCAGAAAGACTCACATAACAAGATAAGTGTACTAAAATGGTTTTGAAACTATATAATCTATGTTTGTTAAAAGTGGTGAAAGTACAAATATGCAATCCCCTGGCTTTCCATTCCTTCCAGTGAAATAGGATCCTTAGAGTCAAACCATCTACAACTGCTAAGCACACATCCATCAATGGCTCAGTGTCTACCTCATCTCTTAACATGCTTTGCTACCTTTACATCCCTTGCTTGGTCGTTCCTCGTCTATGGTATCAGGATCTCTGTCTGGAGTTTATCCCCTGGTGTTATTGAGCAGCATGTCTACCAAAGCAATGCTAAGAAGGCAAAGTTCCTTCTGTTGACTGCTTTATCATTTATTTACAACATTTCTATATCTTCATCAGTAATACCAGGGAGACTCACAACAATACAAACATGTTTCTCATAAAAGGTAAAGGACCTCTGGACGGTGAAGTCCAGTCGAATTCAACTATGGGGTGTGGCGTTCATCTCGCTTTCAGGCTGAGGGAGACAGCATTTGTCTGCAGACAGCGCTTCCGAGTCATGTGGCCAACATGACTAAACCACTTCTGGCACACAAAACACCATGAGTGCCAGAGCACATGGAAACGCCGGTCACCTTCCCTCTGCAGCGGTACCTATTTATCTATTCACACTGTTATGCTTTTGAACTGGTTTGCATAAAACATTATATTAAAATACAGCAGAATGCAAAAATCACAACAAAACAAGCCAAATTATACTAAAAGGGTGGCACTGAGAACCAGCAAATGTCTGGATGCATCAGAAACTTAATGAAGTTGTGCAAAGCCTTAATAAAGGGGGGATGATTCCATAAACTGTGTGCCATGACAGAAACAGTCCTCACCTTGGTTGTCACTAAGTTGACCAAGCAGACTTCATCCAATTATCTCAGTCTATGGGCAGATTTATGTGGGAGAATGCATTTTTTCACATACCCAGGTCCTAATTTTTTGAGGGCCTTAAACTCAGCTTGGCAGCAAACTGGCAGCTGGTGCAGTTCTTTCAAAAGTGATGTTATATACTCGTGGTTGGTCTCCCTTTTCTGCAGCTTAGCTGCTGCATTCTGCAGCTTCCAAATCAACCTTAAGGGCAGTTAAGTATGAAGGTACACCACACTATGGTAGTGAAATATTGAGGCTATCAAAACATGACGTGCTTGCACCATGCTATCCTGCAGCTGACACACTAGCTGAAGCTGGTAAAAGGTATCCTAGCTACCACGGTCACTTGAACCTGTCAGGATTCAGTTACAACTTGTAGACCCTCACCCATCCCACCAGATCCATGCACTGATCCAGGACCTGCACGTCCATACCTGACTCAGATGTAATAGAGAAGTAGAGCAGCACTGTCAATGGCTTCACATAGATGTTAAACAATATTGGGGAACAAAATTGAACCCTATGTCACCCGAAAGCATAACTGCTAAGGGGGTGAGTACAGTCACCCAATACTATTCTGAATCTAGCACTATAAATAAGGCTGGAACCACCAAAGCACAGGACCTCCTACTGCCAACCCAGAGAGTTGGCCCACTAGGATACCATGGTGTCAAAAGCCACTAAGCTATCAAAAAGCAACAGGGTTGCACTCCCCTGCCCAGTTTAATACCAAATCTAGTAATATCTATTACTAGATAGATTGCCCTACTCCAAATCCTGAAAAATGCTGAGCACCCTTCTTTCAAGATGCCATTTACAGACTTGTATTTGAAGATTGGCCTTGTAAGCAGGAACAGCTGTGCAATTTGTCTTGTTTTAGTTTGGCTGCAGACAGAGCAGCAGCACAAAAGGATTTGCGGCCTTCCACAATCTAATTGGGTGATGTCTGGGAAGTCAAATTATGACAATTTCAATGTCACTGTCGTTAAACTGCTACTGAGATCATGGCCTCCTCCATTCAGCAAGACTGACAGATGCTTCCATGCCCTTCAATTCCAGTCAAGGAACACAGGAATTAAAAGTTCCTACGTTCTGAATTATTTATTTATTTTCACACAGCTGCGCTCGCATAAGGGCATTATGATACTGGCAATTTTATTCTGTGTTATGTGTTAACTGGACCATAATCTTGCAGTCCTTATAAACAACACTTTAAGAGAGGTTGGTATTATTACCTCTAAACTGCAGCTAGAGGGGCAGGCAGCTGAGGTTGAGAGCAGAACATGAGAGCAGAGCTTGCCTAAGACCCATATTGAGTTTATGACAGAGGCAAGGTTCAAACCAGGATCTTCCCAAATCATAGCTCAATCCTTTATCCCAAGATGCAGTTATTCATTCGAAGTTTTCCATCTAGATTTTTTTACACAATATTTTCCACAAAAACAAAAGACTGTCTGTAGAATGCTCTCCCCAGGGAAGTTTGCCTGGCGCCTTCATTATACTGTATACCTTTAGGCACCAGCCCAAAATGTTCCTTTTTAACCAGGCCTTTGCTTGATTTGCTTGACATCCTATGCCCTTTTAAAATGTGGGTGGTGGTGTTTTTTTTTGGGGGGGGGGTTGTTACTGGGTTGTTGTTTTTATTTTCATTATGTATTTTGTTCTATTTCTGCCTGTTGCAAACAGCAAAGCGTCCACACTTGCTCTCAGCATATTTTGTGTTTTTATATTTTGATTTTATTCTGTAAACTGCCCTGAGACCTCCGGGTATAGGGCGGTATATAAATTCAATAAATAATCATCATATTTTAACAACTGATGTCTTAATTCAGCTGTGGGAGGGCATGTCTGTACAGCAAAACAGCTGTAGATGGACTCTGGGGGAGTCAAACTTACTAGGCTTTTATCAGCTTTCAATGTTTGCTAAAAACAGTGGTGACATTTCTCTCAAGAAGAACAGCTGAAATTTAAAGAAACCACTATGGAAAATCCCCAGGGAACATGGCAAGTCTTCAAGCCCCAGGCACTTCTGCAGCCACGTGTGATAAACAACACTGTAAAATCCAGTTCTTCTGCTCAAAGAACAGACGGACCAGAGCTGGTACCGTATCAGACCTAGAGAATTTGTGATCCATCAAGCTGGACAGAGACAATTAGCCATTTGCTGCAGCTTGCTAGGGCCTCCAATTGCTTCCCCTTTGTGCAGTTCCAGACAAGGGGAAAACCCAGAAAGTTTATCCAGTCCCTGGTGAGTTGCATTCAAATTGGTGGGTGACAAGCTGTGCATCTACACACCTACTTGCCACCTCACTATAGTGAGTGCTTCTGACCTCCTGGTAAGCAGTACACTTGAGAGCATATAGATCACCTCGCCAGATTTGTGCTGTCAACGAATGGAAGAAACAACAGGGGTCTCTCTTTTGCTGCTTGGAGTTTTCCTTTCCGTCTTATTTTCTGGGAACCCGAAAAGTAAGAACTTGCCTCTGTCCCAAGTCCCCCAAGCATGCATGAGAGCTAAGGTGAGTTGGTTTAGTTCACTACTGCTTTCTACTACTTTGGTATACCCCTGTAAACAGTCAGTAGCGGACAGTACACATTCACGTAGTGTCCCATGCACACAATTTCTTCTAACCTACCGACTCTAGTTTACCACCTGTCCTATAGAATTAATTTGTTAATTTATATCCCACTTTTTTCTTTTCTTTTTTTCTTTTCTTTTTTTTTCTTTTTAAATTTTTTTATTAAGGTTTTCAAAATATTACAAAAAGAAAAAATAATAAGAAAAAATACAAAATAAAAACAGTTAAAAACAATTCAGTCTTTCCATGTCTTATTTTTCATTTTCCTGTTCCCCGGACCTCCTCACACCTCCCTTTTTTGAATCCAGTTCAATTACTTGGTTCAGCAAATCCTTTCCCTCTTTATTTTTATCCTAATCTTTAGTCTTAATATATTATGACTTTAAATTATCACCTGTTAACAATCCATTTTTGCACGTCTTTTTAACATTACTGCTAAAAACCACTTAACTTCAATCCAACATCATTCCAACATTCATTAATTTTGCAGTATTTTTGTAAGTAATCTTTAAATTTCTTCCAATCTTCTTCCACCGACTCTTCTCCCTGGTCTCGGATTCTGCCAGTCATTTCCGTCCCCACTTTTTTTTTCTCCAAGGAGCTCAAGGTGGCATACATAGTTCTCCTGCTTGCCCTTTAATCCCCCAACAACCCTGGGAGGTAGATTAGGCTGAGAGACAGTAACTGGCCCAAGGTCAGCCAGGGAGCTCAGTGGAGATTTGAACCCTGGCCTCCCAGGCTCTATTTGAACATTCAAACCACTACATCATACTGGCTGCAGTTACATCATGGCACATTCAACCATTTCTAAAAAGAGTGTTTTCCAGAGGTAGGTTTGCAGAAATAAATTTAACCATTACCATCCCAGGGGAATGAATGTCAAACCTCTCATGCCTCCCCTACCCCCCCCCCCAGCTTTATCAGTCAATATTAATGCTCAAAAAACATACGGGGGGAAAGGTCATGTTACTTACTGTTCACTGCAACCCATTCATTTAGATCTTCACCCTCAGGCAGCATAACAGCCATCCGTAGGTTGCCACTTCCAAGAGTGGCCTCTGCATGTTTCAGCAGCTCATATTGGTGAGAGCCTTCTGGAATATTCTTCTTTGGTTTAAAAGTTTTAGAAGAGCGGCTACCACTGCAAAAGAAGGGAAATATTTTGGTTTCAGAAAATCTTGTGTACTGGGGAAAGAGAGAGACAGGTTCACAGAATGATCCCCTATCTTACACTAACATTCTTATGAGTTAGAATGTCTTCTCCCCTTCCCACAAAATATAAGATGGCTGTGTGACTAATCTGTTGCATGCTTGGAAGCATGATGTACACCCTTATTACATACCACAAAAGGGGGGGAAATCCATGAGTGGCAAGATTAGCAAAAACACAGATGACATAAACTTCCGTCACACAGTCAAATAGCCAGCATAGGAGCTACTTCTCCATGTTGCAATTCCATCTAGAACACTGATCAAATGGAAAGGTCTACGCAAATCATGCCATTCACATGCAGCCCTCAAATTTACAAAGGAAGAAAGATTACGCGGGATATGTTAACAGTGAAGCCATAATTAATCTAGGTTAAGTGATCTTGAATCTGTACTCTTGTGTAAAAATATAAGAAGTGTGTTGCTAGTTCAAGTGAAAGTTTACATGAAAGTCAAGATTCTTTTTTACAAATCTCAGCAACCAGCAAGTGTACAGAGGTCCACTGGAAATTGGCTAGTGGTCCATCAGTGCAATACTATCTGACTACCTTCTGCTTTAAGCTACTCATATAACATTTCCTTTCAAATATCTGTCCCCTCTATTTTAGTCCTCTTTGGACCCATTTCTTCAAAGATGTAGAGGAATACATCTACGTAACATTCAAGGTGCCCTGTGTTCACCACAGTTTAATCACAGAACAGCAACATACTGAAAGGCATACAAGAACAACTAAACTTTGAACAATTGTTTTGACAAAGGTTCAAATGCAAAGGGTTAATTTTTAAAAAAAATTCTATTCTGAACATGTTGATTCCAATATGGCGGGAAGGCAAGGATAAAAATAGCAAGTGTCTTTCTTTTTGGTCAAGGAGTACAATTTACTCAGAAATCTTTAGGTGGTAGAATAGGAAGTCCAAAATGTTGTCAACTAAATCAGAGGAACCCTAAAGTCTACTGAACCTACTAACACCTTTTCAGGGGATCAGGTAAATTAATTAACTAAGAAGTAAATTCTAATGAAGATATTTTTCCAACATTCCTTTCTGATCCTCCTGAACAACCATAACATACATGCAAGTTATGCAACTTTCAAAGAAGTAATCTAGTTTGTGTCACCAAAAATATAGAGGCACAAGCTTTAATGAGTTTGTTTTTGGGAACTTCAGCATAGGTTACCCGAGCAGTGAAATTTGACACAACTAATCCCCTTAGCAAAACAAACACAATGAATTAAGCAAACACATAGCATTGGACAGACAGAAAGGGACAAGTCAACGGCATTGATGGAGTCACCTGAGGCATTTGTCTTGTTCCAAAATCTTTAATCAGGCTGTATGTTTTTTATATTTTCAGAGACACTTTTCTAACTTCAAGGTTTACTGCTCTGGAGAATGCACTATTTAGTTAATGAATTTGTGTAATAAATTAGTATACTGCCCTTCAGTAAATATTTCCATGGCGATTTAGTTAAAACTAGACATGCATAATAAAAACAGGCAAAAAACAATAAAAGAGCAGGGGGGAAATGCATTAAAATTATCATACTGGGAGACAATTAACTGAATAACAACCCATCACTCTCGATTTGTGCAGGGTTTACTCCTTAGCCTTTCCTTCTCCCAGAGATGTCCCACAAGGCAGTGGGGATGGATTTTTTTGTCAGGGTTTACTCCCAAAGCCTTTCTCATGAATGACGATAGCCGCAAAGCAGTGGAAGTTCAGGATTGAAGTTAATCCTAATTAATTTAAATCAATGAGGAGGTGGCCCTGTCGGCAACAGGGAAGGCCTGTGCTGGTGCCATTTGCAATACCCCAAATACCTTCTACACATAATGCCTTTTACACTTTTTGATCTGCTAATCTTAAAGTAGGAGAAGGAAGGAAGGAAACGTGTCATTGTGGTTTGCTTATAACACACACACACACACACACACACACTCACACACACACACACACACACACTGTGTTATGTGCACACTCCTCTGTAAACATACAATATTGACTGTCTTCAGAAATGGGAGGGGATTCTGAGTTTTAGGAGCTAGCCCTATGCAGATCTGAAAAATATTTCAAAATCCTACGAGTTCCTCCTTCTTTTAAAAAGAAAGTTGAACACCTGATGTCGTAGCTAGGTTTAATCATTAGCATACTGAACCCAAAGTTGCCTTGGGGTAAATGGTTTATTTACATTTCTACCCCTCTTCCTCTCAAGTTTCATAAAAGAAAAAAAATGTATATTCATTTTTAGCAAGGGCTGTGTATGTGTGTTAAAAAAGATCATTCAGCACACCTACTTGTGCATAAATCTGGGTATTAAAGGCTACTGCATCCAATAAAGTCTTGCAATACTTCCAGCCAGCTCAGACATCTAAGGAAGGGACATAAATGAAGGACAACCACAGAGTAGTTCTCTGCAGCCTTGCTCTTTGAACTTTGTACAGTGATGGCAGTATAGTAAAGAAGATGCTGTGAGGTTTTTTTTTAAAAAAAAGATCACAGCAATGCATGAGAGAAAAAATGGTTGGGATGCTGTAGGCCCTACATTTCCTATGAGTAACAAAAATTGTAATTTGTTTTCTTCAGGACACTTTCCACACCTCCAGCTGAATGCTATAGCTGTTGCCTAGACTGCAGGAGCATAGGTGATACTGGGGTGTTAGCAGAGAGGTAGTACCTCTGATGGGGTACACAGTGTGCTCCATCTGGGGTAGTTTGCCCACATTTTGTCCTCACCTTGCACTCAGCTCTCACCTGTGGCTCCTAGAAGCTGTCAGCAGGTGACAGCGGCCACACCCTGGGAAACTGCTTCAACTGGCAAGCTAAACCAGGTGAGGGTAGCCGATGGGTCTCAAATGCTCAGTGAATTAGTGGCTTCCCCTGTGTGTGAAGACAGGCTCTGGTGGATTGAGTGGACAAGACCAACAGTGGATCCAATGGTCAAGAAGGTGTTTTCTGTATGTACTATACAGGGAAGTGATGGGCAGATGGGGCTCATCAACTTGGGAAGGGAGCCCATCTAGAAGAAAAACTCTGATCCTAAACCCCTGCTGCCATGTGGGATATCTTTGGGAGAAGAAAAGGCTAAGGAGTGAACCCTACACAAATCTGGAGAGGACAGGGCCTTGTACGTCACCCATGAATTAGTCAGGCCATCTAAGTCAGTGCTATCATTACATCTTGTAGCAGAAAATTCCATATTACGTTATAAATTTTGGAAGTGTGCCCTGAATCTGGGCAACGCTTTCAGAAAAACATAATCTATTCACTTTCTACATACCATTCACACATTTGTAAATCATTCATCTCCTCTTACTCCAACTTAGTCATTTTTTCTTTAACCTTTCCCTTACAGGGAAGATGCTCCAACACCTTCAATATTTTGACTAATCTTTTCTGAACCTTATTAGGCACAGATTCAACAAAACAGATGCAATGAAGTATTTAAAATTTTCCTTTAAATACCATAGCAACCTACAACCCCCTTGTTAATTGTTCTTGAGGGACTAATATTATTAATCATTGAGTCGGTAAAAAAAATTAAAATATTGTTCTATCTTTGAAACCTGCCATGATTACCAGTTCTTAATCTGTTACTTTATAATCAGTTTAATCAAGGCAGTGATCTTGTACTCTATTATTCTGCTAACCATAGTTAATCTACCACTCCTCCTCCTCCTCCTACAATTTAGTGCAGGCTTCCTCAACCTCGGCCCTCCAGATGTTTTGAGACTACAATTCCCATCATCCCTGACCACTGGTCCTGCTAGCCAGGGATCATGGGAGTTGTAGGCCAAAAACATCTGGAGGGCCGAGGTTGAAGAAGCCTGATTTAGTGCTTTACTTCAGTTTGCCACTAGTTTTCCCATATATTAATATGGGATTCAATATATCAGCAAACTTTCCTTCCACATTAAAATTCCCATCTCAATTATTTCTTCTTATTTTTTAGTCATACTGAAGTCTCATTTCTTATTTTATTATTATTATTTAAGAGTATTTATACCCCAACCACTACCCAAAGTTTTGAGGCTGCTTACAATATATTAAAAACACAATAAAATAGGCAAGGATACAATAGTCACTGCAGTAGGGCAAAGGGCTACTCTGAAATAAATACCTTAGTGTTGCTACTGTTCATTATATGCAAGTCGTTTTCTTGAAGTGAAGTAAGATGCTAGCTGAATACCATGTACCTCCTTGACAACGTGGAAATATTAATTTATTCCTAACAATGTCTCTCTCTCTCTCATGTTGATGAGCCTTCACACCCCAGAAGACTTCACACCGAAAATCAGCAGAACATGCAAATGCTGCAGAAGTTGCTGGGAACTATTCAGCAATGTTTGAATAAACTAAACAAACCAGCCAAAGGAAGCCTAAGCTCTAAATCTTTCTTTGCTTTTGTGAAGGGTCTCTTTTGCCAAGCACAATCCAGTCTTAGGAATCCAACCGAATACTCTAATATTTTATTGTATGCATATTTTTAGCACATTCTCTCTCACCACAGCACAACACAGCTATAAATATCACACCATCAAACATGAAGCAAAGGAGGGAAGCTTTGTTCACTGTGACTTCGTGCAGCAAGAGTAGCTTGCTCCTCAAAAAAAAAAAAATAATACCAAAAATAATGATATAGCTGAAAAGGCTAAGGCGTGAACCCTAGTTGCACAAGAATGCACAAGAACTAGTGCATTGAAGAATGTTATATAAATTATCATGACAAAACACTAAGCGTCTTAAGGAACATAAGACACCTTCCCTATTCAACAAAATACACTGTCCTAAAGTCACATCCACACCGTACGTTTAAAGCACATTGTTTCCTCCAAACAAATCTTGAACTATAGTTTGTTCAAGGTGCTGGGAATTGTGGTGCTTTAAATGTGTTTTAAAAGCATGGTCTGAATGTGACCTGAATAGTTCAAAAT